TCTCTCTCTCGTAAAGTACTTTTCACTTCATTTGCTACTCAAAAGATTAAGTGCTTTAAATGTCTGTAATCTTTAAATGAATGGCGGATTAGAATAAAAGATTTATTTGCCATCAATTGATTCCATCGGCGAGAGAGAGAGAGAGAGAGACCTAAAAGTGAAACAGAAAATTGAGACCACTTTTGGATACTCCTCAACAAATTGACTCATTTTATCGATTGAAGCGAACATTTTGTCATTCAATTGATTTAATGCTGATCTCAATAAAAGTTTAGTGTTTCTTATATATCGATAAATTATTGTATACAGTATACTTTTTGTACAGTATATACTATATAGTATAAAATCTATACATTTCTGTATTCAGGAATATTTTGTACAACTTTTGTACGTAATCCTGTGTATAGACCTACTTATAAAAAGATTTGACTTTAAAATTTATTTTATGAATTATTTAAACTTTAATTCTTTGAGGAGTTTTAAATAGATTAAAGTTTTAGTAAATGCATGAGAGAATAAAATAAAATAAAATGTGCATGTTTTTTATTTAACTTCTTTAAATATATAAATTTTACAATGTATTACATTAAAACAACTGTTATAAATAACTTTTAATTTAATTTATTCTGGATATTTTCAAAACATTTTTCACAAATTAAGACTTTTATAATTGGTAGTTGGTTAATAATAATTATTTTTAGATTTTAATAACGATAATTGTTTTTATAATACTTAAAAATTTATAAAATCTTATAAAAACATTTAAAATATTTAATTTATATTATGTTACATTAATTTTCCTAATCATCATGCTAAAAATAGTTTTAACTAATTTTAAATAATTTTTTAATACTTGGCTATATATTTGTTATATATTTATTATGTTTAATCAAGAAACATAAATGTTTCATATTAAGTATAATATAAAGTTAACTTATTGATTTGATTTGCAAAACTGACATTATCCATTATGTCTATAATATATAATATTTTTTTGGTCAAAAACTTTCCTATTGTGACAATTACTCTGAGAGACTAATCTCTAATATAAATACTATTTCGATAGCATTCCCTAATAAAAGGCGATATATTATCTACTAATGGAATCCAATGGTATCTCAACATAAAAAGGACTAAAAGTTTTTGTGTTTTGCTTTTTGTCTCTCTATTTCCCTTTTATTGCATAACAAAACACTATTATATACATTGACTTTGATTTGGTTGTCATTTCGTATCGGAATTTAAAGCAACAAAAATGTGTTTTCTTATGAAATCTACTGTCATCTGAAATTGTTATTTGTTATACATGTAGATTATAATTAATATACATATACATGTTTACCATTTTTAGCATTAATTTGCATATATTTAGCGAACCAGATGTTTGGTAATTGATTTTTACACTACAATAAGCCTTTTGCTAATAATAAAGTATTTCACAATATTCGCCAATTAATTGATTATTCCTGGCGACAATATATTAGGTAATTATTAATACGACACTAGACAATGACCTCGATGTATTAATGAGAAAATCAATTGAATTTATATACTTATGCTGGTAAAAATAATTAAATTTTATCCTTATTTAATGAATGGTAGAAATGTTGTAGCAACCAAATTGTTTCTCAAGTTTGTATGTGTTTTAACAGTTGGAATGCTTTCGACCAGAATTTTGGGATTAAATTTTTATTTGATTAATGGATTTAACGCACCATCTAATTGATAGCGGATTGTAAATAATTAGTGCAAATGTGGAGAGAGAGAGAGAGAGAGAGAGAGAGAGAGACTGAAAAATAAATATATTATAGCACTGGACTCAATAGAATATACTCTATATTATTAATACAGAGAACAGAAAAATTCATTAAGAATTTAGACATAAAAAGGTGAAAGAAATAAGAATTCTGTTAAAATGTTATTTTATTAGAGGTTTTTTGCCATTCATAATAAATTGTGAGAATATTCTGGGTATGATATAAATACAATACCTGTCCCTTTTACTTTAATTACGGTGAGATTCTTGAAGTTAATTCTATTAGTAGTCGGAAATCTCAGCAATTTATTAACCACTTATAGGAATCTTATAAGTAGTGTATGTAATAAAAATCGTTACAAAATATATTTGAACTATTTTTTCTCAATGCTGGTAATCAATACTCAATTAACTATTACACTGATTGCATTTACAAGTAATACTATAGATTTGATTTGCAGTGTAAATGTGTGGTAAAAATCAATGAAAAAGCACACGTATAATGCAATCATTATATAACACTTGTATTATTGAAAAGCTTATTGAAAAAAAATAAAAATTGGATTTTTATTTTCCTTTTGTGTTAGCATTGACTATACTGTGGATCTGAGACCTACTGTTCCCTTTGAATCGAGTGGTGTGGGAAGTGGATGAGAGAGAGAGAGAGAGAGAGAGAGAGAGAGAGAGAGAGAGAGAGAGAGAGAGAGAGANTTAGTTTTTACTTTTTTGTTATTCTTTATATTCTGTGACAATAGATATAATAGTTTTTTGTTATTTTGTTGGAGAGAGAGAGAGAGAGAGAGAGAGATTCACTCAATTATATTGAAAGCCAGAAAACAGATTAAATAATACCAAAAAATTTCCATTCAATATTGATTAAGATTTTGGTTCTTGGATATAAACAAGGGATTGACAAAAATAAGTGATAAAATGATTGATTATTTTCTAAAAGAGACACCACTTGTGTTACTCACTATTATATTTGACACAACATAGCTTATAATAAAATACATTTAATTCAATCTTAATCCATATTTGAAATTATTATAAATTTAATTATATATTTTTCGTTTTCAACAGATATTTCGCAATCGTATACCCATTCCGGTCATTATTATGGCTAAAAACCCACAAAATCTCTGCCATAACCATCATCTGGTTCATTGGTATAGCGATGGGAGCCTCACAACTGGTTAAGTCAAAGGCCGAGCCCTTTGTCTACTATGGGAAACAGTATTATGACTGCCGGGAGGACTGGGACGACACGGAGGGAAAGTTTTATACGATATTCATATTCTGCATCACTTTCCTGATACCTATAATAGCGCTGACATTCGTGTACTCGAAGATCGGTATACATATCGTGAGGCATGTCGTGCCCGGACATCAGGACAGGAACCGGGATGTGGTGCGAGTTAACCGGAAAATTAAGGTAAAGGTATAGAAATCTCAGTTTTCAATTTCATACAATGTATTACCTATTATTTAGAGTTTTTTAAAAAGATTTTTAGTTGTATTGACATTTCATAAGAATTTTTACTTAGGCATTGTTCACATATTACGTTCGCACTTGGGGGGAGGGGGGGTGTCGGCCAAAGCGAACTTTTGCGAACGAGAGGGGGGAGGGGGTTGAGACCTTAAGAACGTTCGCATATAAATGATTCTAAGAATTTAAAGGATTAATTTTTATCAAAGTTAATCTTTTGAAAACAACTGTTTGATAACTTTTGAATGAATAAATGAACTTTGAATAGAAATAATTTCCAGTTTATTAAATATTTTGAAAGTGAAAATAATTATATAAAAACATGTTAACATGACCACCTAGAGCACTATTTCTGAAATCACTGTCTATTCCATGTCTATTAATATTTAAATGATTAGTTTAATTGTAATTAAATTAGATATAAATTTAGTGGTATTTGATTTCCTAGGGTGGGGGGTTAGGGACATACGAACGTAATTTCCTGAAATGTTTACATGCGAACAAGAGGGGGGAGGGGGTCAAGATTTCTCAAAAAGTGCGAACGTAATATGTGAACAATGCCTTAATACTTAAAGTAAACAAACTTGTGAACATAAGTACTGAAAATTAATATCTTATCATTTCTAAGTAATCATTTTGAAACTTAAGGATTAGTTGTCTTTCAGTACTGATGTTCACAAAATTGTTTACTCTAGTATTAGCACAATACAGTCTCACCCTGTCCACTGTATTTAAACAAAAAATTTGATAACTTAAATACTGACCATAATTAATGGACATTTATTTAGAAAGTAGTCAAAAGCCAAGCGCCAAATATAAATCCACTATGAAGTAACAGTGACCGGAGTTTAGTATATACTGTAAAAATAAATATAATTGAATAGAGATAAATATATTCCCTAGTTAATTATATTTTTATCGTTTAAAGTTTAAATTTTAAACACTACATGGAAAGTGAGATAAATTGTAGGTGGTACATTGAATAAAATTGTAAAGTAATTATATTTTGATACAGAACCCGTACTGGTACATTTAATCAATAATGGTAATGATAAAATAAGCTCACAAAGATCCTACAATGTACTAATAAATAATAGTCTACTTAATAAATTATGCTATTATAGTTTTATTTGCCAAGCCAATAGTGCATGTGTTATTTAGATTTGTCTTATTGCTAGAAATAATCTGTCAAAAACAATATTAAGCACGATAATTGATATAATAGTTTATTATTACCTTGAAGATCTTTTTTAAAAAGTTATAGTAAAACTGTACTTGAAATCTATTTGCTTATAATCTTCAATATAAAATAATAATTAAACAAAATGTAGTATTGTATAATGCTAAGCTCTCCATGAAATATTAACTATCAATGACATTTGTCTAAAATTCACAATCGGTCTAACGTATCATAATTAATTAAATAATTTTTATTATTCTGTATAAATTAAAATTGTTATTTTGATTGTCATACCTTCATATTTAATATACTATCTAAAAATATATTTTTACATTCATATACCTTTCATATCCTTATGAATCTAAAATAAGTTTTATCAGAAAAATACTTTGGTACGAATGTACTGATAGGTCCTTAATATTGTATTTAACGCAATTGACATTGAATTACAAAACTGGGTCAGATTACAAAACTTTTAAATGTACCACTTATCAAATAAATTATAAATAATTAATGATCAAGCAAGTGCATGGTTCGCATACATATACCTAAGTAATACCATATACACGATATATTTTACAATACGTATAAATAAGTTAAAACGATAAACTTTGTGATCAGTTCATATCGTGTATTGAAAAATAGAAAGTGAAATGAAAGCACCTAGTGCAGTTATAGTGCTCATAGTATGCCTGTCGGCGGCCACACCACTACTGGCCTCCAGTGCCGTCGGCGACGTTGTCGGCAAACTGACGGTCGGATACCAGGGATGGTTCAATGCTAAAGGGGATAACTCGCCGCGCAATTCGTGGATCCATTGGGCACAGGGTAGTGACCATCCCTGCAAAGATCACTCTAAGGTTGACGTCTATCCGGACACTCGGGAATACACACATACCTACCAAACGGGTTACGCGAACCTCGGTAATGGACAGCCGGCTAAGTTGTTCTCGTCGTGGGATAAGCAGACTGTGGACACACACTTCAAATGGATGAAAGAGGTGAGTACACCCTGTGACCATATATCCTTAAATGGCCTTATGCTATGCCCAGGTTCTATTTTCTATGTGAATTATGGGTTAAACATGTCTGCCAACATTGTGCAATGAGTGTCTGATGACAATTAAGTTATATATGCACTGAGAAAATAAACTCATAATTTTGGATGAGTTGTGAGTCGAAAGTTTTTTATACTTTATTGCTTACGTGCCAGGTAAATTATAAAAATATATTTATAAAAGTTTATTAAAAATTCACAACTCACAATTCACAACTTACCTAAAATTATGAATTGATTTTCTTGGTACAGATACAGTATACTGTAGTTGGGAAGTGATACTTTTACTTCTGAACATTAAAATACTTTTACTATAAGTTTTAGTAAATAAAATTAAAGTCCTAAACACTTTAGCAATATTGGCAAACATGCATTACCCATAAAGTCAATCAAAAACAGTCCCAGGCTATATCTATAAATCAGCCACTTCCAACTGTTAGCCTGTCCACCTATTGCATTAGTAACATTGATCGAAACATACCTGTTGCTATAAATTAATGAATACCAATTGTGTGAACAATTAAAAACTAATGATGAATGAGCAATATTAGGTAACACTAGTTGGCTATTAGAAACCTATGCCTAACTATATGACTGTAATGACTAAAACTAAGTGTTTCATAAAAAGTATTCACATATGGCTTGTGTCCGATCAGAACAACATCGATACGGCGGCCCTCCAGCGGTTCGCGGGCGGCGTAATGCACGACCCCGTGTACGCCAAACTGCTTAACGGTGTGGCCGACAACGTGAGGGAGGCGGCCGAGGCTCACGGACCCAAGTTTTACGTGATGTGGGATATCAGCGGTTGGACTAACTTCGCCACCGAACTCATCGAGGACTACGACACTAACATCAAGAGGCTGACCACCAGTAAGGCCTACGCCCACCAGAACGGCAAACCCGTGGTCTGCATCTGGGGCTTAGGGGTCAGCGGTCGGCCTAATAACCCCGCCGGAGCCATCGCCCTCATCGCGCATCTTAAGAGCGAGGGTCTGTATGTGGCGGGCGGTGTGGCCAAGCAGTGGCGCACCGACACCACCGCCTGGAAGGACGTCTACACGAAGCTCGATCTGTTGCAGCCCTGGGCGGTCGGCAGCTTCGGGGGCGTTAAAGGAGCCCAGGATTATAAGCCGATGTTGGAGGCGGACCACACTCTACTGAAGCAGCATAACATTGGTTAGTATTATTCGGGATCTATTTTCATAGGATTAATACTAAAACACATTTTGTTAATAATTATAAATATTCAAATGCTCAAAATCATTGCAATCCCAAATGCTTTAGACTATCAGCCGGTTCTATTTGCGGGTTTCACGTGGGCCAACTGGCAACCAAAAGCCGTACGCAATCAGATCCCGCGTGAGCATGGTGACTTCATGTGGCGTCAGTTCGTGAACGTGCGAGAGCTGGACATCCCGTCGTGTTATGTGGCGATGTTTGACGAGTACGACGAGGGGACGGCCATCGCAAAGG